ATTTGTTATTGTTTGTTTACAAATGTTTGGTTTTATTCTAGAATTAGCAGTGCTTTATAAGGGTTTCAAGATTTTTTTGCAAACCGTACTTTTCAAGCGAAATTTGACAGATGGAGGTGATTGGCTTTCCTATTCTTATTTGAATCTCACTATACAATATATATTCATCAACACTTAACCTCAAGGTTGGCGCCATAAAATATCAGTCATTCATGTACGTCACAAAAACGTATTAAAATTAAAATAGAAGCATTAATGACGAGTAATAATAGCTGGTTTACATTAACGTTCGAGTCCAGTAATCCAATCGATCAAATTGCCATTCATTCATTCACTCTTTCGTTCCAGGATCCTTACAAAAAAGATATTTCTGTCTACTAGCCCGAATATGAATGATTCAAAAACAAATCACACACGACAGCAGGGATTAATAAATGCTAACATACGAGCGAGTGAACGTTAAAATAAATGTTATTTTTATTATGTTACCGGGAGAAGCAGGATCTATCTATTTATGCTTATAAAATAAATCGCGGTCGCAACAGCTGCGTTATAATAACAACTCTATCGCCACGTGCCGCCTGCGCAACTGAGTATTTTTATAAATTAATAGTACAAGTGACCCGGTGCATAAGAAATCTTTATATATAATTCTCCCATCTCTGCTGCGGTACCGGATAGAGCAGGGGTTCCCAAACTTATTTTATCTACTGCCCACAAAGAGAATAAATTATTTTTTAGCCCAGCCCTCCCATTTTTCAACTATAACGTCAAATTCAATTAATTATTGTGAGCTATATTGGCAGAGATTAAACATTCATTCGAAATTGATTCCAAACGAGACTTTTACTATAACCCGCAAGAGTTAACTTGAAACTAGTGTCTGATTATATCACAGATAAAAATTCTTGGGTTTGAACTGTTCCAATCATTCCTACAGGTTTTCTATATTAAATAAATCATGATTGTATTGACGTTGTAACAACATAATGATTTGAAAATGTTGTTACATTATACTTTTAACGTTGTGGAGTTTTTTTCGCTCATTTTTCTCCGCAGCTAATAAATATGGCCAATAACGAGTGGCAGGGAAAAAATATTTGGAAGATTCAAAAGTGTTGTACTATACATCCAATTTGAATAAAAATATATTGATTTCTGAAACCTCAGCGCAGTAAGTAGTACACAACGCCCCCAAATATTAATGGGACTCTTACCGCCCTTTAGGCCTGCAGCGCCCACAAGGGGGCGTTACCGCACACTTTGGGAAAGGCTGAGATAAAGGATCAAGAGCTTACCCATCATATCAGCCGTACGTCTGACAACACCTTAATGCTTCGCATATTGTGTAAAACTTCCGTAGAGTCTGTGTGAAAAGAGTATGGGCGTGGCGAAAAACGGAACTAACATTATGATTTTTATTTGGCAATCAAACCCAGCAATCTGTAAAATGTCGAAGTTTTGTATTGATACGGATTTGTTTGTTGTTGTGATTTTTTGCGGTTTTTTTGTATTTAATCATGTTTAAAAGGGGTAAAACCTTACAAATACGGTAGAAAAGCACTACAGCGCCCTCCAATCTAAATGCCATTCTCTTTCCGCACAAACTCTATATCCGTTTCATCTTTTCTGTAGGATTTTTCCATTTACACCCCGTATGAAAAGAAGTTTTCACTTCAATAAAAATATTGATTGTTAAATCTTATTAATTACTATAGTATATTTAATTTGATAGAAAAATGCTCTATGGCCCTCATACTATAGTAATATGCGGCGTTTGATCAGTACCTACGCGTTCGGTATAAACGATGTTATTACAACAAACATGTTTCAGCTCGTACACATTGCGATTTTCCGTTAAAAATACTGTGAAAACAATCTTAACATATAGTACCTACTTACTCGTAAATTATCAATTTTAATGCGTTTTATTAGCAGTAAAAATGTTTGGTTATCTATCTAGATAATGTTTGTTGGAATAATTTATTGCTAGTGTAAAAAAGATCGATCGATTAAATCTCTACGCCCGCCCTGCTGAGAAGTTTTAAGCGGGCTTTTAGCTTTATAGGTTGTATACAGGAATAAATTAGAATTTAGCATATCTAAATGAGAAAACTGGTAATGTTGCATTTTAGGTATGCGGATTAGGTACTAACGCAAAATTCGAATACTAGGTACTTAATTATAATTTTAATTTTTAATGGCAGCAGACGGGTCATTCCCTGATCTGCATGTAATTTTTTCTTGTAATATTTTCTTATGATTTAAATATCGAGCAGTTACATTCTTTAAAAATTAAAATTATAACTAGAATTGTTATTTTTGCTTTCAAATGTTTAATACTTGTAAAGGTATTCATTTGACATTGTGGGTTACCTACAATGCGAAAAGATGGCGCTGCCTTGCAGCTTAAGAAAGGCTAGAAAGAATTCGACACGGCCATAAGGGCCGCGGTAGAATAGTGGTCAGTTCATTCGCCCGGATAGCGAAGGGTGCAGGTTCGTGTCCCGTCTGCTGCCTGGTCCGCGTGGATTTTTTTCTTGTAATGTTTTCTTTCGATTTAAATAGGTACTTAATTTGCTATCGCGGGACATTTAATTGATTCGGGTCCTAATTACTGTATTGAGCTCCATAATCCTCAAATCATCTCGACAGAACGCCACTACATACCTACCTAGATTGGTCAGGGAAGCGATTGAAATAACCAAACTCAAGAATTGCAATCCTGAGGATTTGTTTAAATTGTCAAGTGTCTGGAATCCAGTGGTTCGTATGTGTAAAAACCACAAAAATAAAAAATGTTGTTTTGCGATCTGGTACTGTGTTCATTGTGTGTCGGGAACAGGTGCGAGTGAATAGTGAGAATGTGACCAGTGGTAGGGGTATCGAACGCAATAAAAGACGACGTCAGCGGGTAGACCGTTATGTCTGCCAATAACATCTACCCGCAATTACTTCAGTTACCCCGTGATTATGGCGCTTACAACAGTGCCGAAATATCGGAGACCCATATAATAAATCAGAACGAAGTTTTGGTCAAGCTATGAGCATTTGCTCACACATTACTGTGGCGCTCCTGCCCCGCCCAAAAGGCCCTTGTAACCTCTTTCTGTATTATGTGATGGCTGGTCTGGCAGATAGAACTGCTGTACCAGCTATCTTCGCGTCTGGACTCCACCGTCACCTGACTTAATATCAGGTGAGGCGGAGTCATCTCTCCTGTCAGACTTAAGTATTTACAAAACTATAGTTAAGCTTGAGTTTTGATAACATTTTATTTATGTTTTTATTAATTTTTAAGCATTTAACTGCTAGATGTTTAAATCTAAAGAAAAGTTTACTAGAAAAAAATCCACGCGGACCAGTCCCGTCCGCTGCCTGGTCCGCGTGGATTTTTTTCTAGTAAACTTTTCTTTACATTTAAACATTTTATTTGTCATTGTTTATGCACGCTGACTTTTGTTTTTCGTGTAAAAACGGTGGTTAAGAAACATGGGACTCGTCTGATGCCAAGAGGCCACTATAGACGCGCGTTGTCTTAGTCTACCCTTTCCCATCCCATACCTTTGAAGCCTCGGAAGTCTTAGCTACTGTCAGACTAAAAGCAGAACAAAAGGTGTACATTTGGTTTCCTGATCAGATACTATTCGTTTCTTACCAAACGCGCTGGCCTTCGTTGTCACCGTCTCACTGTGGCCACAATTCCAACGAGTACAAAGAAATTTGGTAACTAAATTCTTTGTCGCACTATCCGTAAATGGAATGCTCTGCCCGCTCACGTGTTCCCTCCTTACGACCTGGGATCCTTTAAAAGAGGCGTGAAGAAGCAACATGCAGGCCGGCAGGGTGAGGATGGCTGGTGTGGCAGGTAGAACTGCTGTACCAGCTTTCTTCACGTCTGGACTTGACCGTCACTTAACATCAGGTGGGGTGGAGTCATATGTCGGACTTATCTATAAAAAAAATACAAAGTGAGAGAGATTTTACAAATAATTGCAAATATGTATGTTCATATTTTTTTAACTTAAGTAATTCAGAACAAATGACCCCATATATCGATCGCATTCGTAAAAAGGGATGATTACCCATTTCTACCTAAATGAGTTCTGAATTAAAATCATTTTAATATAGAAAACAAAGCTCTGTTTTATACTATCACTACTACAAGTTACTTTGAAATGAGGGAAAAAATTGCATAATGATGCAGATCTGCATCCAACAGCGTAGTACGGGGCAGAGTGAGGATCGCCGAAACTCGTGTTTATATGAGTTTGTTTTCAATAAAATCGCCAACGCGTCGTAGTCTCCATACCAGTGCGGCCTCGGCCCAATAATAGGTCACTGTATTTTTCCGAATAGATAGTTTCCCCAGACGGGCGTTCTATCTCGAGCGGGAAATCCACTAAGCCCTATTGTAGAATGCTTTGTATCAATCACAGGGCACAGAAACCTCTTTCTATCGTACAGTTATGTATATTAAACTTTTATTGCTCTGCCACTTGCAACTTTTATTGTTTCGTATGATATTATTTTACTTTAAACCCGCTCTTATTTATTTTTGGGTGAAAGAGTTCCCTCTTATAGGTATGTGTAGATAGGTTGGTACTATTATCACACAACCGATGGATGGTGCTGGCGTTGAAGAAAAAAGTTCAACGCCAGCAAAAAACTTACGTTCGTTAAAACCTTATTGTTTTAATCTAAGGTTAAAACTGTTATTTGAAAAAATATAAGTTAAAAAATATAATAGTACACATAAAACAACATAGGTTTGAGTTCATGTATATAATCGATTTATTACAGCGCCCTCTGTCAGTCAGTAGCAAAACTACAGCAAACGTTTTGCAAAGCAAAAAGGCGTCATCTGTAGTAGACTTTATGAACTCACCACGTCAACATAGACATGAACCATGGCTGAAAGCTCACTCTCTGAACCGCTGAAAATGACGTTAGCGCAGACATAATAATAACGCGGTGTATTTATGTATGCGTCGTACCAACGTGAACTTGGGCGTCTGAAAATACTTTAGTTTGACATATGAACGAAAGAAACATGTAGTTTTTTTATAATGTTGAATATTGCTGGCGAATTTATATTTTTTTCTAGTTTAATAGCGTGAATATTTAGATGGTTTTCAAAATGGATTCCGGGTAACTATGCTGTTGAGCTTTCGCATGCATGCCACCTGATCTTCGTTCGTGCTAAAGTTTCTAGTTTCGCGATTGTTTTGGTTCACTATAACCTCTTTGTGTGGTCTTTTTGACGTTATCGCTAATTAATGGGGGTTATTTTTATGTTTACATGTCAACAACTTACTTTTCCCTTGAGAATGATCTTACGTTTTTGACATTTTTTTGCTGTTACCGTCAATAAGAAGAAAATCTTATAGAATATTCATATTAGTTACTTTTAAAAAGCAAATGTACATTAACTTGTACTTATAGTTAATGCTCGTAAACTTTGTCACATCGAAATATTTTAAAAGCTTTCAGGCGACACTTTTGTTTGGCAGTTAAATGGCCTACTCAAAAAGTTATAGTTTAGTTTAAAATTGTTTAACCATAATAAGTCGAATACTTTTGTGAATAAATATAAATTATACCTCTATAAGGTATATATTTATATTTATTCAAAAATAAGCGACGATAGAAATCATGATTATTTCGTACCAAGTATAAATATTATGATAAATAATTTAGTTGATATAAGAATAGTTTACTGTTTCTTTTATTACCCTTTAAATGTATGAAAAGCCTATGGCTTTACTTATGTTTAATCATTATAGTAAAGGAAATCTTTATACCTTTTTAAGCACACTTAGGCACGGAGAAATGTGGGGTTCATACATTATTCAAGATCTGGAAAAAGAGTGCAGAAAGCTTCTTTTTTTATGTAAAAAAGTATTAAAATCATAATATATAAAAATAATAAAACAAACGTTACACACACTACTATGTACGAGTATGTAGCCTATACACACATTAATAGGATAAACTTAAAAGGTTAATTTCGGTCGTTTAATGACAAGTACATGAGAATGGAAAAATAAAATAAGCGGTTTTTTAAAATAGGTCAACGTACGTAAGATGTTGCAGGTACAAACATCTTTCGAAAGGGATTTTTTTACTGAAAAGCTACAAAGTTTCAGGGACGTAAGACATTAATTAAATACTACTTAAACAAGTTTGTACTTACGTTCTGCTGCTTTCTTAGATATCTCACAAGCCTTCGATCGTGTCTGGCACGATGGACTCTTGTATAAAGTCCTCAAAAACTTACCCATTAACTTCTATTTGTTTATAAAGTCATATCTCAGTGACAGACACTTCTATATTAAATATGGTGACTTTAATACAGGCCTACACAAAATAAGAGCAGGTGTTCCACAGGGCAGCGTAATGGGTCCAATACTCTACCTTATATACACCTTGGACTTACCAAATAGACAAGATATAATGACAGGAACATTTGCTGATGATACTGCCATACTTGCTGTTGATAAAACACCTGAGGAAGCTTCGGCAAAATTGCAACAAAATCTGAATGATATCTCAGATTGGCTGAAAGACTGGCGCATAAAGGCAAATGAAACCAAATCGGTTCATGTCACTTTTACTTTAAGGAAAGATACATGCCCAGAAGTAGAATTAAACCAAATTAAGATACCCCAGGCAGATGAAGTTCGATACCTAGGAATCTACTTGGATAGACGTTTAACCTGGAAGAAACATATATCTACTAAAAGGAAAACACTTGACTTACAGTTAAGAAAGCTTTATTGGCTCATGGGAAGAAAATCTCAAGTTTCTCTGGAAAATAAACTCCTTCTGTACAAGTGTATACTAAAGCCTGTCTGGACTTATGGCCTACAATTATGGGGCACAGCCTCTGTATCCAACATTGAGATACTTCAACGTTTCCAATCAAAAGCCCTACGAATGATAACTGGAGCACCATGGTATATGACAAATAATCACTTGCACCGTGATCTAAAAATCAAACCTGTTAGAGAAGAAATAAAGGACTCTTTACTTTCCTATTCCAAAAGAATGCAAAATCATCCTAACCCACTAGCAAGAACTTTGATGGAAAAGCAACCAAACAATACATTTAAGAGACTAAAGAGACGTGCTCCTCAAGATCTTCTCTAACACAAACACAGAAAAGTCAAAATAGATGGGCATATCATTGGATCATGTACCATGCACGACATTTTTATTCCAAATTCATAAAATCCAGCTTAATGTCGACAAGACAGATCGCAGGAAAAAAAGGAGACTTAAAAAAAAAAAAAACTTTCGTGCAAATTGAATTAAAAATCTTTGAAATACTCACATAGCCTACCTACCTATCCTTCTGCCTAATTGTAGATAATTAGGGATATTACCGAGCTATTTTTAAGAAAACTTTAAGTCGTATCGCTTATATTATTTTGTTATTTTTTATGTACCTCAATTGATATTGTTGACCTAAATTCTGAAGTCTCACTTTGAGGTATACGATCAGGAATAAATTTTAAGTTTTGACTGTATTTTGTTATATTCTCAGACTGCGAAGTTGTTTTTAGTGATGTTTCTATTAAAATTTTCTATATTCTTATCACAGAGGCAGTGACAGGAGGCTGGGTGACCAGCGTGACCCACATTGGTACATTGACTCCGCTTACGCATCTTCTCTGAAGGTCTCCCTTCGTCTTCCCACAAAGCAGTTTTTAGAAGGTTAGTAAAGTAAAAGTTCTTAATATAATACTATTCTTCGAAATTAATCTTCGACCAGTTAGTAGAATCATTGACTCTTCAGATAAATCAATAGTATTATCTAAACTAGCTTTTTGTATTATTCTTATATCCATTGATGATACTGCCATGTTTTACCATAATTTAAAACAATAATACGTCCAATACTACAAATATTAGCTTTACACAATTTTATAATTGCCGAATGCAGTACCTAATGCAAAATGATCCCTTTTGCAGACTTTTTTCAACCATTCCACCGTCCAAGTGACATAAGGCTTCACATTATGGGTATGTCGGTGTGACCCAAGCCCTGTGATGGTCTAGCATTTATATGTGTCCTTGTCCGTTTTATTTTATAGCAAACTTAGCATTTCTGTCGTCATTGTGTCGTCCCACAGCATTGTACGCCTTTCTTTTTCCTAAAATACACAGCTATGCTACAAATATCACAATACACCGCCATCTCTGAATGCGCTGCAGAACTAAAGCAACAACCTGAAAGCATACACTAAAAGCATTTCAGTCGAGTGCGTGTTCGTCCGAATTCATCTGCTTGGCGCTAGATGGCGGTATCATTTATGAAGTGTCAGCAAGAAAAAAACATTGTTCTACTCCCTTTTGCATGACATTGTTTTGTTTTTTTCACCGCATTTGTTTTTAAGCAACCACACTGTATTTTTTCAGATAAATTTTAAACGGAGTACTAAAATAAAAATAGTATCTAAATATAGATATTTCCACAATACAACTAACTTTACTTATTTTATTTTATTTCTATATTTTTAAAAGCACCGAAATTACTTTTGGATTTAAAAACTGAAATATTTATGATGACATATTTATCATTTTATGTTGAATTTGGAAAATAATAAATCTGTACCCGAAGTTTGACCGATGGAACCATATTAATATTAAATTTTACGCTGTCCGTCCGTCTTCTCTTTCTCTCATCATCATCATCAACAGACTATCCTAGTCCACTGCTAGACATAGTCGATCTCTCTCTCTCTCTTTCTTTTTCTTCTCTCTCTCAGCGGACTGTATTTAAAAAAAAGAACGTATGAAAAACGAAAGTATAGAAAAGTTCGGAGGGAAACTTTTCTTAGTTCGCAACATACTCCTCGAGATGACCCTCCTGTGATGGCATTGGATATCACATAGACACCCAAGATCCTATTGTTATTAAAACTTACAGTTTTTTTATATATTTTTTGCGGACTGTATTTAATCAACATACTTACTTTTAAAAGAAACACAAAATACAAATTGTAATATCCACCGTATTGAGTTCCTTTTCTTGTCTTTGTTCAACTATTGATTTTTTCAACTAATTTAAATTACATATATAATGGCCTTGAAAATAATTTATTCAGTTTAGGCTTTTCATGGTGGTTTAGGCGTTTCATGGCATGGTGAAAGTCGAAATTACGCCATCGGTTCGCAAAACTACGGCGGGTTACCTTGTACCGAGAAGAACCGGCAAGAAACTCAGGAGGGGCTGCTTTTTTCTCCCTGTTTTATTTCATACAGTCAAACTGAAAGTTGACATCAAACTTGCAAACATTTGAGACATTGAGTCAACTTCCATGAATTGAGAAGAAACATTACGTTGTGTGTATAGTTTTACGATGATTCTGTCGGAGAGTAAGGTTCCTTGACTCTCCACGGGGTAGTGGATGGGTTTCGGCCATTTCCCTAGACTGTCCTAGTCGTAGACCTAGTCAAGGCAACGCATACATGATAGTCTGGTATAATGTGGTACTGTGGCCGATTGCTATCAGACGGGATTAAAAGAGGTAGGACAAAGCATATTTGCTCGCTCGAATTGGATCGCCCGTCTGGGGAAGCAACCTCCACCTTCCAGACCACAGTAGAATAACACTACATTTTGGTGGTGTTGTATTTTTGTCAATGAGTAAGTGTCGCCGCACACGGGCCACCGACCACAACCACAAATCGCCGCCACCGGCATATTTCTTGTAGTTTTCATACATTTTATATGGACTCGCCACACACGGTACGCCGGTCGCCGCCACACGCTACAAATCGTCGTTGCTCGCTTCTTGTGGCCCGCACCGGCCACTTAATGCGCCGATACAAAACGCCGCCACACGACACTCGCACGATTCCCTACCCCTCTCTCCCTTACCTTAGTCGGCCATTGTCGCGCGCTTCAGCTTCACTTTCACTTTAGTAACCGCTTCTAGCTTCTCGTGGCGGCGTTTGTGGCTGTAGCGTGTGGCCCGTGTGCGGCGACACTAAGGTTCTATTGCTATGGCGCGAGTGATGGCTTTTTGGTAACACAAGCGTCTATAGGCCTATGGTGGCCACTTACCATCAGGTGGGCCCTAATGCTTGTTTGCCACCTTTTGAACATAAAAAGACGTGCGACAATATGTTTGCTTATTACTATTTTTTATATGAAATGGACACTTCCAAAACCAAGGCCAAAAAAAATTGTGTGCACGAACTATATACATTTCAAGTGAAACTTGTTTTCTTAAATAACCTAACATTAGGTGCATATGGCATAGGAGAATGGAGCAGCGCACACCTCACTTATATAATATATTGTCACACACACACACACACACACACACACATGTATATATATTCGTAAAACGCATTTCCGTTTCATCTTTTCCATACGATTTTTCCATTTACATCCCATCCGAAAAGAAGTTTCACTTGACCAAATGCGTAGGTGGCAAATAATTATATCTTGAATCCCTTTCAAAATCCAGAGAAAAACAAATAGAAACATTTATCAGTTCCTGAGGTTATAACGGTTTCTATCGCGTGGATGGTCCCGTCTTAATAAAAACACATCAGCTACCTACAAATTGTACGTATAACGTTATAAGTATATATGTTTTATGAGAACAGGTGTCACTCGGTTCGTATTTAATGTTACAAATATAACTCAAACGCGGCACGTTTTGATATCTCTTGCGTTAGTCTAAACTAATTTGTTTGGCTTTATACCATTGGCGGTCGCCAGCAAATTCGTTCGAGTCAACTTTAGTTTTCTGAGAAACCTTAGGGAACCTAACACTTTTTCTGGATAGAAATGTCCCTATGTCTCAATCCAGGACATGTAAGTAGTTTAAGTATTTGTGCATTCGCCCGGATAGCGAAGGGTGCGGGTTTGAGTCCCAACTGTTTTTTGGGTAGTGTTATTAGTATTATTATTTAAATGTTAAATTCTAATTTATTAATTGAGCATTGTTTGGTTAAATGTAATAATTGCAATCTTATTTAATTTAATTTTATTTAATACGTAATATTATAAGTTAAAATTCAATCCTAAAAATTATATTTGTTAGATCATAATTATGAATGACGTCAACACTTATAATTGTTGTGTTTACAAGTAAACAACCAATATAAAATATGTATATCCATGTATGATTAACGCAATGTTAGTGTTGCTAATAAACAATAAATAAATAAATCTGCTGCCTGGACCGCGTGGAATTTCGTCTTGTAAAATCTTCTTCAGATTCAAACATCTAGCAGTTAAATGCTTAAATAATAAAAAATAACTAATTTGTTATTATTATTTAAGGATTGATACTTACTCAACTATCCGTAACATAGACACTCTAGACCCGGTTTACTCTTTCAGGGCCAATTGCACCAACATTCTTAATTCATATTAAAGGCTACATGCGCAATCCTGAGCCGAGTGTAAATATAGTTATTTATTATACAAGAGTGGAAAGTTCCTTTTTAACCGCGTGCTCGATTTGGATGACCGAGCAAGCGAAGGATTCTAAAGTTGAATCACGAGCGCAGCGAGTGATTCTAAATTAGAATCCTGAGCGTCAGCGAGGGAAACAAACGAGCACAAGGTGAAAAATCTTTCCACTCGAGTGCAATACGTAACTTTTCATCCCACCTCAGCGAGGAAATGACAAAATGAAAAAGAAAACAATTTATAATGACAAAATATTTAAGCAATAAAACGTGAAAAACTAGAATGGCGCGAAGCACGCAAATAAAACAAAGAAACCAAGAAGGTTCCAAATTTAAATTTTTTCACAATTTAAAAAGTTCTAATCATAAATTTGGCACCATAGAGGTTACATTAAATAGGTTTAATGACGTTTTGAATTTACAATTATATTGAGTACTCATTATATGTGATGTTCTAAATTCAAATCTACTTTGCCGCTCAAGCGAATAAAATAGAATTTTCCAGCCAGATTTCGAAGCGCAAAATTACACTTTCCGAGGTGGTGGGATGAAAAATAATTTATCTTGCAGTACCCAGAATTAAAAGAAAATTCTGACTAACTACCTATTTAACCCGATGAAAGGAGGGATACCGTTTTCTGTCTCACCAGATGGCGCCACTGTTGAGTGAGGTCCTGAAATCAAAGTTTACATTTAAATCATATTTTATTACGAAAGAAACGTATCCTAAACATAATCGGCCATCCACAGTGAAGCGCAGCTCCGTTTTGTTCGGAAAAGAAGAAGGACATGATAATTTTTCTTAGCTCCGCTTTTAAATAACTGACATTCATTGCCACATAACTCATATTTGTCATAATTAAGCCGAGTTAATCATAATCATAATCAAAATCATTTATTCAGTTTAGGCTGTTACAAGCACTCATGAATGTCTAGAAGCTACGCCATCGGTTCGTAAATCTACGGCGGGAGACCTTGTACTGAGATGAACCAGCAAGAAACTCAGTAAGGGCTGTTTTTTCTCCCTGTTTTATTATTTACAGAGTCGGCAAATTGAAAAATGACTTCAGAGGTGATTCATGAAGTTACCTTTCATTACATAATGATTAAATATACATTAATTGTTTACCTGCATTTTGATTGCTGTGTCATACAGTATAAATACAAGTAGTGTTATTTATATTAAGTGTGATTAAACATTAATTTCAATATCAAGGAAGTTAGGGCAGACTCATCTCCGCTGGCAGCACCCGTTCACGAGCATGATGCATGAACCAAATATTCACAATGAACCCGCGTAGTCAACCCACAAGCAATAATATTTGACATTTCGGAGACCTGACGCTACACTAGCGCCTCTAGCGGCGGATTCATACGCGATAGCCCTCATTGGCGAGTTAAATTCATAACCTCCGGTGTGTCACAGATTCACCGGCAATGCCCGTCCTACTGACGGTCCCTGACACATATGTCAGGGACCGCGGTCCTCTGGGGGCGGTATGGTGGGCAGTAGGCCGCGTACCCAGCCCCCACGCGCGGGCCTTCCTGCGCACGTCAGCGGGGTCCCCGAAATACCGCGGGAGACCCCT